TCTCGTAAGGATTTCGAAATGTGGCAGCAGGTTACAAGATGCACACGTGTGAAGTAAATGCACAACTTTTATGTACACATATATACTTTAGAGTATGAGACTTTTTTGGTTTTTATTTTCTTGCATTGATACAAAACAAGATAAAGTATTTATCTTTATAAAACTGTGTACAACTTTAAAACGCTGAGAATTGTTGTCAAGAATAAGAAGCCTCAAGAAGATTAACCTTTAATGCACAGCAAGAAATATGAAAATATGTAAATAATAGGTTTCCCTCTCTCTCGTCAAACCCTCCCTTTATATGCACATTCCTTGTTATTAAGACGGTGATCACGAGTACACCGTTTGTTGTCATTGTAAGCAAAATTCAGTCAACTGAACAAATTTGTCATCGCCAAATCACGCACTCTTCAATCTCAATTTACTTGAGGTGTGCATACGTAATTTATAAAAGTCTTGTGAAACTTAAAAGTCACCAGGATAATAAAAAAGACAGCAGTATTCAATCAAGATTTGTATAATAATAAGTAAATAATAAATGCAGAGGACATAAGCAGGTTGGGCAAATTTATTCACCGGAAATCGCCGATCTAACGCAAGATGCAGAACAGTGATAATCACAATTGCTCAGCAATTTCAGTGTGTCATCGTGTGCCCCGTAATTCTCAATTGTTCCTTCATTTTCCTGTAGGTGGAACGAACAACAACAATCTCAGTATGTAACTGTTCTTTTATTATTGTTGTTCAAATAAATGACGACAACAAAAACGTCTAGATGGAATTAATTAATTTCTTTGCAGGTTGAACCCAAAAACTCATTTGTTTGGTAGCAAATGGGTCTCAAATTGAGACTCTCAATTTGTCTCAGAGAAAGTCAAGCCTACACTGACTTGAACATGAATATGCATACTTATGTATGAATTATAGTAAACACCTAATATTTTAATTTCCTTACCCGTGGACGTATTGTTATTTCCCCACAACGGGAGTTTGAGAAGTTTTTTAAAAGAAGAGCTGCGCTTCAACGACCCCCGGCCATCAGTTGTCGACTGCCCCTCCATCCACACGCCCATCCGATTCCATACACGACTAGTTATTTATTTTGCTAGGTCACTCTTTAAATCCACCACTGTCAACTATTATGTCACATTTATCACTATACTTGTATGCAATTGTGATTATTTGATGTTCAATGTCAAACTTTCTCCGCTTTCTTCAATTGTCTTGTACAAATTCAGACAACAATTTAAATAATCAAGCAAAGTTTATTACACAATTAACAATGCAATTGCCAACACAAACATACGAGTATGAGTTTCGCACTCTGATCTGTTTTCGTAGTCACATCTCAATGTGCTACTCGACTGTACTTTGTATTGATACAACAAATACTTATTAATTCGCTTCAAAAGAATGTTTTCCCAGATGAGTTGTCCTCGTATTTATACAACATTTTTGGTATATATATATCTATATATATATTTTTTGTCTGTTAAGTATATGAAGAAACCCAGCAGACAGTAGTACACAGTAAAGTACGCGTCATTTAGGTCGGAGGTTCATCAGAGGCCAAAAGTTGGCTAATTTTCAAGGTGAAGTTTAAACAGTGTGTACGAACAACAGACTTTGAAGCAGTCAGAAGAACAGCGTTTGCTATGTTTATTTGAATCCTTGCTCCTCGCCTTTGTCTCCTCGGAAAGTAACGCTACGTGTGTACGTATCGAGTAATGTAAACCAATACCCGGGTCTTATTGCCTTGTCTTCCCTTCTTTTCCGGCACACATTTAATGCATTACTTACATATAAACGGGGCTGTGTGTTTTTCTTTATTTCCTGTTTTCCGTCAATACCATAGTTTTCTGGTTTTATGTTCTGGTGTCTTGTATGGCAGAAACTCACCACAATGAACAAACAAATTCTATATCTCCTCTACATCCACATTTGCACTTCTGTTTTCTCGGCAGATTGTAAAACAATAAAATCCTAACACCGCCGATTTATTTCCACAACACGCCGTAAATGTACAGATGAAACTGTAGACATGCTACTGTAGCTAGCGGACGGATGGTCAGAAGTATAAATTCAACCTTGGATAGGATGGTTGATGTTTCATGGTTTAAAAATTGCAAGATTTTCACAAAATCCATATATATTTGTACAAAAGTCAACCTTGGATTGATATTTGGTTCAGTTGGTGGAATATATTAAACTGAGAACGTGATGAAGATGGATACAGAATATTTCAATGAAATATATTCATCGGCTCAGCTCAGCACCACTCATTCAAAGTGATGAGATTCAGTCTATGTATGAACTATGAATGCATATCGTGTGTTCAATACGAGAAGAACATATGTATGTGTGTGTTCACTGTGATGTTTTAATTATTAAAATAATGCACTAAATAAGCGATTGAATGATTTTGATGGATTTACTGTTTGTTCGTGGTTAGTAAATTAGATTGTAATTTAAGACGATTCCATATGTAAAGTATCGAGTTTATTCATCACGCAACGCAATGTATAAACTTGCCGTGTACGTACACTTGATAGCAGAATGTTTTGAATATTGAACAAAAAACTGGGATCTTGTTAACACCTTGCAAACTTTAAATTCCAAACGAGTCGAGATGATGAATCAGACTGTTTAATAAAATAAAGCTCGTGAACAGATTTCGTACGCCGGGAGGTAACTGACTGCAGTTTGCCACAACTTTTCTCCATACTTCCGTGATGATCCTCTGCTTTCCTTCTACCGACAAGTTTCACTCTTCCTCCTGACGAAAACTTTCCCCATCAGCAGCAGAGAGAAATAGAGAGGGTGAGGGAAGGAAAACACAAAGTTGGGTGCACAAGCGCCAGTAGTAGTTTCAACTTCGATCCAGCCGGCAAGATACATCAGTGCCAGAAAAGCACCAAAGACGGTCGGGTTGTTTTCCTCGTACCAACGTACACAAGTATATGCTGCCTTGGGAAAGGTAAGTTAAGAAATCTCCCTCTTGATGTCCCAAGCAGGGGAGAAAGAGTCGGAAACTTTTACTACAATTCCAACAAAAGAAAACTACCCGAGGAAAGGGAACAGAGACCAAAATGAACACTCAACACTTTTACCAAACGAATGGTTACACCTTTATGCAACTAAAATGCAAAGCATATCATTTTCTCAATTAGCTGTCTTATGAACCAATACGCATGAATATATACATATTTAGCTTAATTAGCCTGAACTCTACTATGTATAATGAATGACGTCTTCGTTACCTTTTGGCCACAAATTGAGGCATTACATATATTCGTTCAATAACAGGTCAGCCAGATAAAACGACAAATCACAATCACAACTAAACCAGACGCTGTATAACTCTGCAGACACACAATAATAAAAGTGTGATTTGGGATATTGGGAAAAGATATTTTTTTCCTTGTTGGCGTAATTCTACTGCATGCTTCTCCATATTCCAAATTAAGCAAGGAACAAACAATAATAGTTAAGCATATACGTATTACTACATAACATAACATTACATTCATAATGAGACACGCGTATGACGAAAAATAATGAATTCATAAAAATAATAAGATTACTATCATTTCAATCCAAATCAAAATTGAGCAGAAAAACGGACAAGCTAATTCTACCTCTTCCTTTCTCAACTCATCCAAAACATTTCAGAGCAAACCAGGCTTTCACTCGAGGGAATACGGGCTGAGAGTTGAGTAAAATCGGAACTTATTGGATTGAATTCAGCCAAATCAAATTGAAATCAGACTAAATTGGTTTCGCAGGATAGGATCAATTATTTCTAAATGTCACCGTGCGCTACGATATCTTAGTAATATTTCATCAGTTCAGTTTATATCTTCATCCTTAAGGATAGATGGATTTGCCTAACAAATAACATATGCCATGTCTCATTTTGTTTACGTCCAATAAAATACATGCATATACTCATATCAGTCCACCAAAGAAGGAGTAATACAAGATAAAAGTATTGAAATTTTAGTTTAGGGGCATTTATTTACGTAATAGATTGCTGTCGGTTGATGCTGTCACGTACCTTCCTTGTATATTTAGGGTAACACAGAGCAAACATACCCTGGTTAAGCTGAGAGGTAAACTTTTCCTTTATCTGCTTGTTAGTGGATTGGATAAGCAGATCCACGATAATCCACAAGCCACAGCGAAAGTGGTACATCAGTATAACTTGATATATGTATGGATACATATTTCCGTCTATCCCCAGTTTTTTGCTTAGCACATAGAAAAATACGTGACACTCAAGTGTCCCAAAATAAGTAATTTTATTTTAAAATGCATGGCTTAAACTGATTTAATTAAAAATACATCATACATCTCTACCTTATAGAACTGCAAAAATGATACTCCTTGAGGCATCGAGTATTAAACATAGTCGATAATCATGCAACAGCCGTGTCATATTTTTATAGACAATCAGACAAAACAAGAATTGCGTGGCTCCTGCATATAAAATTACACCTGAATCTTTGGTGTAATCAGGCCCTGCATACTAGGTTGGGAAAATGTTTTATGCTGCTTGCGTCACTTCTCTCTTCTCTTGGAGTTCAAACATGTACCTAAATTGGTGTAATGTGATCGCCAGATATACGGTGAACTAAATAGGTCAGCTATGTAGACTAGATCTAAGAAATAAATCACGGTGAATAAATGCCAAACCACGCCAGGCCAGCATAAAATTTTAATACTTAATAGAATTCCAGCTTGGATAGGATAGTATATATTACGTACATTCTGTCAGCCAGTTATTATTATTCCAAGACAATAACTTGTGCACATTTGGACATTTCCGGGTATATATAGTTATGTAAATATCCATCCATAGATCAATGAATTATTAAACTTTTAGTAGATTAAAAATAGTAATTACTGAAATGGAATTTTAATAATCACTAATAAATTAGCTGTGATGCAACTTGCCAAAACATGATCTGGAACAAAAAGAGTGAAAGAATGTTGCTTACCTGTGTCAGATTCTCCGAATGATCCCCACAAACTAGTTTCATCCGGGAGCTTCTTACCTGAAAAGTATAAACGTCATTACCGAGGGAAAATTAAGTTGTAATTGAGCAAACGCATTTTTGTAAAAAAAATAACTTTCGCTATTTCTACTGTCATTTTTAGAATTTAGTGAATAACAAATATATTTCTACATGCATATATTCATTCCATAAAGCTAAGAAAACTGCTTACTGATTCGTTTCTTTGGGTCTTTCTCCGGGCGAATTCTATCCCGAAACCGTCTAAACTTATCGTTGGCTTTATTTTTTTGATTGTTTGTTCCAAGACAAACGTCATGAATATCGTTTATGCAGTTGTGCGTTCTGTACGTATCAACACTTTTATGAATGTTGAGATTACAATCTGAAATTATAATACGAAATCATAGGCTAAGCCAACTTAAATCAATTCTTATATTTTTTTCTCAGATTCCTAGTCGTACCAACACATTGCTGTCCTTGAGGCCCAATGCCCCACAGTAATTTTGAACAAATGTTGCATTCTGTGTAGGAAGAGTAACATTGCAACACAAAGTGATGACCATTGTGGGCAACCTAGAAAATACATAAATAAAACATTTTATATATGAATCAAAGGCGATGGGAGCTACCAAAGAAGTGAATACGATAAAATTCGCATCGTATGATTTAAATCCCACTAACCTTCTTTGGCTTGCTAATGAACCTAGACTTCATTGACTTGTCTTTGGACATAAAACTACCATGTCGTTCCAAAATGAGGTTTAAATTTGGATGATTTCTCAACCCAAATAACTTGACTATAACTGTTGCGACTGCATCCACCGAATAAAGTTGATTTCAGAAGAACATAAAAAGGAAATTAAAAATATAGTATAACAAAAAAGACGGTCGTCATAATTTGTATAATAGTATAAATTAAGTGGATTGTTCAATTGGTTTATTGCAATTACCTGCAATCATTATGGCAAATGTACGACCCTCATTGTTTTTATCAACTTCAGAGCTGTAGTATAAAATAAAAACAAAACAAACAGAATTAGTAAACGACAAATAATCATGAAATTTATTTCCTAAAATTAGTAATTAATGAAACTATGAAATATTCAGTCCATTGTACAGACCTGAACTGTTCGACTCTAGGGACAAGATAAGTTTCTACAATCCGTAGTTCCTTGTTCTTGTCATGAAGACTTTCGTCCAGTTGGTTGTCAGGAGGTCCATACATACTGGAAAAAGGTTTAAAAGCAGCATGGTCAGACATGTTCTAACATGATAACGTAATCGAATCTAACCTTCCAAGTCCAGCTGTTCGTTTATTGCAAAATTCTTCCAGCTGCTTATTTATTTCTTCCTTTGCCTTATTTCGAGCTTTCCGGAAGACCTGAAAATTTGCACATTAATTTTATCTCAGTTCTGCAATTAATCCTCGAATGTTATAGCATTACGATATCGTACCCTTCTCATCATTTCCTCTTTGTCGACTTCTGAAAAATAAAGTAAAAATAAAAGTTTTATCAAACGGTGTAAAAGTATATGCAGAATCGGTTGAAAGCGCATCATTCGCATTTTGCATGGAAATAATACCATTGTCTACTTACCGTGTAGTAAGCTGTCATCAATTTCAGCTGCAATGTTCTCATCCACATTTGGAACTAGTAAGGGCTGAAAATAAATTTACGCATTTAAAATTTTTGTAATACAAAGGTCTTATTCAGATATCATAATCATTTGACTGAGTTCTTACAGCGCCGGGAGCACTAAATGTGGAATGAATTTCATATCCCCACCTCTTCATTTCTTTCGTACCTCCTTCTTCAATGTCTAATGCGGTTATTAAGTAAAAAAGCTATAAAAAGAACACAAAAATGTTTAAATGTCATCCAAATAGAAATTTATCATTTAAAGAATTTGTAACTTACTAAACTACTTGGATCTTTTCTATTGTCTATCACATAATTAATAAATACTGTGAACCAACAAAATAAAACAGTTAATAATAAACCATTGTAAACGAATTAATAATAATTATTAATTAAGTTAATAATTCAAACCTTACCAGCTAAATGTGCGTTATGTTCCAAAAGCCTTGAAAGACTGGAGTAAGGCCCATGAAAACCCGTAATTGTCTGAAAAACAACAACAAAATATCTAACAACCATGAAAATAAATGACATTTTAGAATACTGCAAGTCAGACAACACGTACAGGGACGATCGGCTCATTAGGCCATAGGACCGCGTCGTCCTCCTCCATCGCTTGGAAACAAAAAATATGTTAATTAAAAATTAGACATTGTTCCTTGTATTGTAGTCAAACGTTTATTGAGGTATATTGCAACTCCATTCATAAATTAATGATATGCAGGTGGGAAGATAATCTCATCGGCTTTTCTGTGTCAAAGTGACTTGCATTATTCTACTCACTGTTGTTTAATACATAATGGCCACACCCACTCCCTCATCAAGCAAAATTGCACTTTCCCCAACCAGTGAAAGCTTTGTTTCTCCACCCATGAAGAGGAGACGATTGGAAAGCGGAGGAGAGACCAACAAAGGATGCACACTACTTTTGACAGGTACATAATGTTTACCAATTATTAGTATTACTGGAAATGTTTATTATTATTTGAATGTATAGGATTAGCTAAAGCAGGAAAGACGAAACTTTCAAGCAAACTCTCCACCATTTTGAAACAGGAAAGGATTCAAGTGAAAGAATTGGATGGAAAGTTGCTCAGAGCAGGACTCTGCAGTAAACTCGACTTTTATGACGACGACGCCCGGTCGACATTTGTCCATTTAGCGAGTGAGGCAGCGAAATTATTCACTTCTGAGGGATTCATTACTATTATTAGCATCGTTGCCCCTCTGGAGAAAGTAAACTAATACTCATCATTATGAATGGTGTGCATGTACATAAATGCAATTAATGTCTCATTATGCAGGATCGACAAGAAGCTCGCAAGTCACACGAGAACGATGGATTGAGATTTGTTGAGGTGTTTGTGGACAGGTCAAGGGTAGAATGTGTTCGTGAAACGGATGGAATGAAAAATGGTAAAATTTGCACATTTCATGATCAACTTTATTAAATCTCACTTTCACTACTTATGCAGTGATACATCCAATTGATTGGGATTACGAGCCACCCACATCTCATGAAATCCACCTACATCGGAGTGGGAACAATGTGGACGATTTGACCAGAGAATTTGTGTCAGAACTTGTTGCTCATGTGAGTGAAAGTAAATAATTCATGTTGTTCGCATGCTTTTCATGCACCATATCTTTATCCAGAAACTAATCCCACCACACCTCCTTCAACCAACTGTTCCTTTCTCCCCATCTGGACCAACTTCTTCACCCTCAACAACGGTAGACTCGTTTGGATTCGATTTGGATGATGACAATGAGGAGGAAGATGGAGATGATCCTAAATATTTGTAATAAAATGTGGCAATTTTGCCTTTTTCTTACCGATTATATCGACCGCTGAAAACTGACTGGATCTATTTGGCAGAGCACCAGATAGCCCACGTTCTAGTGATGATAAGCTCACCTGCAGGAACAGAAAACAAAGAACACCAGAATGAAAACAAACACGTAACCCAAGATAGACTGTTTTGTTTAATGTTTACAAGGTTTTCCTAGAAGAATGTACATATGCATGTACCGCACCAATTTGTGTAGAGAGGTAGGGCACAAATTTCTTTAAATTTAATTTCGATTTAACAAAACTATCAAAAGCGCCAGAAGAATCTGCCAATACGCCAGTTAGTTCACGGGTTATCGTAAAAACACACAGCGAGTAAGGACATTATTTGCTTACATTGCTATTATTTTGATATTCATTGTTGGAACTGCTTTCATGGTCAGCGGACGAGGAGTTGTTGAACTTGTTGAGATATGGCGGAGGAGGACTGCCAGGGGGGCTCAGGTGGTTCGAATCAACAGAATCCCAAGCACTTCGCGATCTTGAATTTTTCTTGGATGATGAGGAAGAATTATTACTCAAGTCGTTAAAAGAGTCAGATCGCTTTGAACCTAGAAGTACAACCATACTTGAAACTATTGAAAATATACAGTAAATAGGAATTATACTCTACTTTACAATTAGTAATATGCCCAAGTTATATATGCTGTTGCGACAAAAATTAAGCAATTCAGACTCAATCTTTCCACCAGCCGTATAGTAATAATACTCTAAGACGAGAATAATCGAATAGTTCGCTTAATAGTAAAGGGGCGGAGATATTATGTATTTGGAATACAATTGCTGATTTCATTTTAATATCCTTGTCAACATCGAGGGATACCGATAGTTAAACAAGCGTTAATACCACCAATGTAATAAGTGTTTGTAGAAATGGAAATATTAGCAAGTCATGAATTGATCTAATACGATTGGGAGGTGATATAACACGCTTCTTGTTCGATCGTTGTTAGTATATGTACATGTGTACAAATATATTTTGTGCATGAATGTAGGTATCAGATTGCTGAGAAATTGAAACAGTGATTAAAATAGTGTTGCTATTATAAGTATACTTATTCAATGCTATTAATTGTAACAAACAGTGTGGCAACATTATATCCCATTCTTTGTGTCAGGATACTTATACTGCAAAATATTGTCAAATTGCTTCATAAATTCCAAACAGCTTAAAGTAGTGACGTTTCTAGTGACGCTTTTCGTCTCGTAAATATTGCATACCTTCCGAATTCAAAGCCTTTTGCATCGACACCGGATCTGGGCTTGACTTTGCACGATGATGCGTCTGCTGCTGTTGTGCATTACTTTGGCCATTATTGTTGGGACTTGATCCGAAAGAGTTTTGCTTGGTTAGTAGCTGAAAAGAGTAATGTCATACAGTAAATAAAATTAGAATGGAAAACGTTTAGTTTTACATCATATTGCGGAGTTCTATCTGTTCCATGGATAGATTCCATTATTTTGTGTCATCAGTCCAATGCACATTCACGTCAAATAAATCAACTCAAATTTAAGTCATCACACCCAGTATGACAAGTGCCATATGAATTTCTCACAAAACCAAATTAAAATATAATCTAAATTTAACCTTAGTGAAAACAGAGAAATGAAGAAATTGTCAAATGCACGCATGTAGCTCGGAATTAAGTGATCGCGTATAATATACTTAATAACTATTTTACAATCTTAGTTATTCGTGGTGGACCAAACTTACATCCTGGTTAGTATTGTTGAAATGCTTGTGCCCTTGATTGTGGTTATTTAGATGGTGGTTAGAAGTGTCCAAATTAGGATAATGATGGGTCCTTGGTGGGAGCGGAGGGGGTGGTTGGTCCATATCGTTATCAGAACAGATCCAATTTAAGTTTTGGTAGGTGGGCGCTGTCGACATTGCAGGACCAGCGAGTGGGTTCCTGTGGCGTGGCGGCGGTTGAAAAGGCACAGATTGGTGACCTCCAGAAAATTGGCCAAATGGTACTGGAGCTTGTAGCTATTGAATTAAATCAAACCCAAAACCATTGAAAACTTTGTAAGTCAACCAACACCGTCACGACCGTTAAAAGACAAGCCAGGAAAAATTTCTACAATTAAAATCCTACGTTAATTAGGATTAGATAAATTTGCATTACAGAATATTTATAGGAAACCGTTAATTTGACACAAGTTAAGATGAGAAACAAACTGCATGCATATAACCAAACAAAACTGTCTTTCACTCTGAGACAGTACTAATTATTATTACTCTCCAGTTTAATTAACCAGCTAAACTGACTGCTAAATCTTTAGTGATATATGTGAGTCATATAATAATTTGAGTAATGGAATATCTTGTCAAATTCATATTAACAGGATATGTGTATAGCAAAAGTGTCACCACACTTCCGACTACTGCCCAAGGAAATTCTTAGAATTCAACAGCTAAGGGCAGTTCATAATATGAACTTCATATGTATGTATGTATGTGCGTACGGCATATGTACTTACCTACATATTTATATATGTTGGATATTCCAACATAATTCCATGATAAAACAAATTTCTATTCCATCAAATTAAATTAAAATAAAATTCATATAGTTGCTTACTATACACCAAACTGTACAAATGCAAATAACAAAGGAAATATAATGTGCATACGATTTTTTAATGAGTGACGTCATGCATTTATAACTTGTTATCTCTACGTAACCTTCAATTTAAGAAATTATGGAAAGGAATATGCAAGTCGATTTCAATACCACAATTGAATTTCACAATCCAACTCTACTATCTATCATTTACGGAGTTTAACACTGGTACATTTATATATGCGAGGTCCCCCTCTTGAATTGACGGAAAATATCTGGATTGATGCCCTGTCTCTTTATTCCGCCCTGAAAGTCATGGCACTGTAATATCGTCGTTTCATTGACTTTCATTGCTATCCGATTTGAAATCCAGTTTTGTTTTAATACAAAACTACCATCTAAAAAATGGTGCATAGCTGGATATAATAAAACAACCAGCATAAATAACGTAGCATACATAAAATCCTTGTGTTTTGCTAGAATGTGCGACAAGTATACACGTGTCATGGTGTAAGTAATTTAATGAAGTGCTGTGGATTAGTTTTTACTGGTTTGATCAGCATTTACAACCAACCCCCTTCCTTCCCAGCATCTCTGGTTATATGGCTTTAATGTCGTGCACGATAGTAGATCACACATAGTAGCACAAAGGCACAAAAACTAATTCATCAATCACATTTCCAGCCATTCCAAAGCAATAATTAGTCATATATGTCATTGTCAATTTCATTGTAACCCTTCATGAAAGAAAAAAACAAGACTAAGGAAATGTTAAAGCATGTAGGCTTTCCATTTAAACAAGAGACAAATAGATTCAATAATAGGAAGAATCGCTACGTACTATAGAATTGATTCAGAAAAAGCTACATTCGGCCAAAATATTAAAGTGGTGCATTTCATCAACAACATGCCACGTACATATATGTACACGGAAATAAAATTACTAAGAATTACCTGCAAATTTGGTGAACTTTGTCGAAATGTTTTCATCTGACTTTCAATCTTTTTGAGACCTTGCTGAGCTTTCTCAAACTCTGCCTGATCTTGAGGATGACCACTGGCTTCGTACTTTTTCCACAGTTTCTCCACGTCTGTAGACGCCTACAAATAATGCATAAGTATAATCACGTAGTATTGACATCGTGTATGTTATCCAATAAATTTTCATATGAAAAATAGAAATACAAATCTTGTAAAGTTGGAGAGGAATACAAAAAGATTTAGTCTTTAATTCATGAACCATAATTTTACCTTGTCTCGCATTGCTTGAAGAGTGCGGAGTTTGCATCCTTGCATTTGCAATTGGACATCTTGCTGCAATCGATAAGTTTTGCAACCTTATTTACACGAACCATTATATTTTGAACCATTTTGATTAATGTGTCTTTAGTAAGTTTCCCGTTATAATTCTGATACCCACTCTCCATTTTTTAAAAGAGAAGGCCCTCCACAAAGACAAATTCACTTTGTGCACATTCTCAGTTCTACAACTATGTTGGTGAGTTACGAACTTTTTGTGTGCATTCATTTGACTAATTAATTGTGTAAATAAGTATGTAGGGACGATACCAATCTTCTGTAGAATAAATGCTGGCCCAAAAACAATGCTTCATTTGTACATGATGCACTTACGTTGACTGGGAGCGGCGCGGTGACATAATCGGTGGAGAGGTGATGATGTGGCCGACCACCATTCCCCCCTAAGAACCCCACACTTGGCATGTTTGGGGACGGAGGGTACAAGTCTCCCCCAGGAGGTTTCCCTGTGAGACTGTTGCGTACTGTAAAACGTTACAAAAAATAAGTACTGCATGACTATTTTTGCTCTTTTTAAAATGTAACCTGATGATGTCGCTGGATCTGAGTCCGATCTCAACGTGAGCGTCACATATGCCCCAGCAGCTGCAAGGGTCAAAACAAAAATGTTGTTAGATTCCATCAAACGGGATTATTAAACAATGTGTATTCATTATTATTATTAATGTATTAATTGGCGCATTTGAATGGTGGTCACGATCACGGTTCTTTTCGCACTTGGCCCATTGTTCTTAGACATTCTTTTTAAAATTCTGAGATACTGGCAACTAGTGGAACTCAGCTTTATTATTACTCAAAATTATAAACTTCATTCAAAGTGTAAAATGAAGTATTATTATAAAATACTTCAAAAGGCTGTGCACTGTGCACTGGTTGCAACCTTGTAGATTTTCAACGTCATACATACATTCACATATTTATATCGACTTCTCAATAAAATCAAATTCGTTAAGTGCAAATCACCTTATAAATCTTGCAGCCAATCATACACCACTTGACAAGAAATAATGACAGAAAACGATAGACGATGCAGGCCCACATATCCAATAATTCCAAACCCATAAAACATTTGATGACGTTATCATTAAATCACGAGTACCTGTGCCACCTTCGGGTAACGAAAGAAATTGTGCACAACTCTCCTAACATGAAAACAGTTACCGACTTGGTTTATTCTGATTTTTTAGTTGTCAATTCTTTCTTTCACTCAGATCATCTCATCGTTTTCGTCGTGTCTGTGAGAAAAGACGGACTAACTCTTTGACGTGATCTAATCGATATTCATATCGCCAAAGATGTTGACTATTTTTGATAATGTCGTGCAGAGTCACAGTTACTCATTCTTCCCGTCTCAGGGGTTAACGGAATGCCACTCCCAATATGAACAGCCCAACGATGCACGGGATTACAAAAGTGTAGGTACTTACGTATAATACAGCCACCACCAACAAATATGCAACCTCAATCATTTTCTCATCTTCTTCTCCTTGTCAATCACGTCACGAAAACATTATGGTACGTTTCTTTCTATCCAAGTAATCGATCATCGATCTCTGATCAATCAGTAACTAGTCAAAAGGAATATTGCAAGCAAATGGACAACCCTTTTTTCGCAGACACGAACGAGACAAAACAAAAGATGTTTATATTTATTTTTATTTTGGCTTAATTATGGACTTATCTCCGTCTGCGCATCATCAAAGCCATAAATAAATAAAAACCCCAAGTCGGATATGGCATATTCGTCAATGCATGATAATCATCCTACAACATATTGTGGCACAATTTAACCATCCATTATACATACATATTTATCTCGTGTGTATAAATAATTCTTTAATGCACCTCTTATAATAATAACTCACATAGTATGCATAGTAAAACTTTAAGATTAATTTGGAATATACCTAAGACTTTGAAAATACGAAGTACTTTTTATTCATTTTTACAAAGTTCTATACAACCTATGGATATTTCCGTCCAAATCAAAAGAAAGATGAGAAACTTTATAAAAGTAACTTTCACCCAGCTCGTTTGGGCTTAAAGTCTTAATCTAATTACAATAAATTGTACATCGAATCATTGTTACGCATAATTTGTTGTGGTATTCAATTTCGCATACAGGTCGCAGATACTTCGGTAAGAAAGGTACCACTAGCTACCTGAATATTTCTCTCTATCTCTTCACATTTTGCGACCTTCACCTTGTAAAATATGGTTCAGACTTCAACTTCACCTAGTTACATTTTGAAGTTAATTACTTTTTTGCACTCGAGTGTTAAACAACTGCTGAGGATGAGCTGAGGATGAGTAAGGAAGTGAGCCAAATGTTTAGACTAACTTCCAAGCTTTTCACGTGCATATTCTCGTACTCTTCTACCTAATTAGGCTCGGAACCAAAGGCAAGTGAAGTAACTTGACTCTATTTGAATAAGTAAAATGGCAGAGCACAAAAGCAGCAACCAGAACTATTAAAAGCAAAACCATATGGCGTCGTTGACTGACATGGTACGGTATAAATGGACACACACTTTATTTATCTATTGCTTCTTGGCTTCATCCTCGTTTATTAGACCAATTTTTTAGGCAAACAAACTAAGCTGTTGTGCAAAAAAGTGGAGAACCGATTTTGCCATCAACTGCCAATTCTTCACTCATCCTGCATCCACATTCCATGCAAAACCAGACTAGGAGACGTGAGGTCGACATCAAACATGGTGAGATCAAGTATCAACATTATTATGCAAGGAGGAGCAATTATTACATGGATACAAAACGGAACCATCTATCCTACTGCTAGACCAGAATTCATACATATGCATGTTTTTATGTATATAGATCAATATATGCATACAGAGTTTCCACAAAATTCTCCATAAATCAGACGAGGTTCAACAGATTTTTCATGTACAACGCTGTCATAAATGATGACAGTGAGAGGTTGGTGACGAAGCTGGGGTAAACGATCCCATCATTTTGATGCAAAAGTGCAGCTTGTTCCATCGAACAATTTAATTGAAAATATGTTACGAGTTTTTAATATTTAATTGTAGTTAGTCCTTAAGCTGGATATTCTTAAATAATTCATAACATACAAGATCCTACCGTTATTAATCGGACAAATTGAAGAATAGAAAAGTTTCCCGTTTTTAATCGTAAAAAGTTTTTAATTATTAGTCCATTAACTATCAGTAATTAAGAGAAGTCAAACCACACAGGTCACGTCTCTCCTTCAGTTAAACAATACATACATGTCAGCCCAAAACACTCTAAAATATTGGGTTAATTGCCCATTAATTTCACTTACTCTGTTATATTTGACGAGCAACTTACACATATTTCACATGCGTAAGAATACCGAACAAATGCTATATAGCGTTTATAAGGTATCGGGTATGCAATGTATCCTTTAGTTTGATAGTTTCTGATTAAACTAAATTTTTAATCCTATCCTAGAAAGAAAGTCAGTAGTCTAATAGTCTAATTGAACAAAATGTGTCATATGTAAATATGTAAGGACGCAGATGAAATTCGTATGAATGTTGGATTTACGACATTTCCTCTTCTACTAAAAGTAATGGACAACTGAACATTGGCATATGTATAATTCAATTAACCAACCATCCACCAACTGGTCATCATCTAATCCTCTGTAATTCTTTAGTAACATAACAAATAATTTATTCTTCTGAATGAGTATTGAGTACAGTATGTAGTCTAGTCTTCGGCAGTGTTTGGGCCTGCGGTTTGCAATTACACGTCTACTCAGGACTTAAAATCTGAATTTCAAACAAGTTTCTCCCTTGTCATATAGTGATCAAAGAACAAGAATGTAGAAGACTTTATTAACTGTTAAATCCCAGAATGCATCTATCCGTATTAGCAAAACTGTCAAATGCTACAACAAAATCCTCCCAAATCAATTTTGCACTATAATCAGATCTATATAATATTGGTATAAAATTGCAATTAAGATATCAATCCAGCTATTTTTCTCAAGCCAGAGTCGATTGATCGCATTCCTTTGGCTCCTAAATCTACCTCCACACATATTTATCTTGTATTTTGTGATGGTATGGAATCAATGAGTGATTGAGCCAAACTACAGAAAAACAGGCATCTGCAAGGAAAAATGTGCATATGCCACCAGGCTAAACATAAGTACGCTGAAAATATTAATCATAATACGTTGATGGACAAGCCTTTTCCCATTTAGTAACTCTGCTCCAATTTCAAAATGTAAACATTATACTGGAAATCTTTCTAAACTAATTTAGTACTTTTCAATGATACATTTACATATCTGTTCACAACTCAAGTCTAAATAACAAATCTCAACTTTTAAAATATCGACCAACTCGTATGCATAGTGTCCGTAAACTGTACATACATAAATACGCGTCTCTTTGTGTATGTGTTATGAGCACCACATACTCATTTTCTTAGAAATTGCATTTTTATTGCGTTCCAATAATAATTTACCACACACATTTTTAATCAGCATCATGAATCCTCCAAGATTTTCCAACTATACCAGGTCAAGTCAACATTTCATTTCATAACACCTAGGTATGAAAAGATAGCAATACATTTAACCGTCCTGTGATTTGACTTTCTCTTTCAGCTCAACTCGTATCCCACAATATATGACGCAACCATATTAATATGAGCTCAACTTAATCAACACAATTTGTATTAACCCAATAACAGCTAATAAATCAACACCAGTACGAAACTCTCTCAACACCAAGGAGCTCATTATGTATTGTCTGTCAACTACGTATCGTGTCAGTTTTATATTTATTCCTTGCTACTTCCTAAAATAATTGCCTCATTTTTGAGGTTTCATGTAGACTGTTCACTGAACGTCAAATACTCATAAATCTTGATTAGCTAAATAAGACCAACGCCAATGTCTGTGTTAGGGCAACATCCAGACAAAAAATAAGTAATATGATGTGAAGAGCATGGAGAATGATACGACGATAATGACGTATTCCTACAATCTGATATTAGTAAAATGATATTCTATTTCGAAAAAAAATATTTTTTAGCATGTAGAACTTGAGCCACAATGGTCCGCTTCATTTATAATCTGGCAGTAATTTGGTTTGATTTCATTTATATCATTATTAGGAGTTTGGATTTCATATTTATAACATGAAACCATGTCCATCTTAAGATACATAGGTAAAACTGATTTAGATTGAGTCATAATCATAAAGTTGTCACATATTTTTCTAAAATTAAAGCGTAGTGGAACGGTCTAGAATTATTGTCCAAAACTGTGGATAATTGGAATCGATTACTACTACAAGTATCAAACAATCAGTGTGCATATGTACCTTTTTTCTTGCTACCCCCTTTACTTTTCGACTTTGACTTATCTTCTTTGCGACTCCCCATCGATTCTGCGAGTCAACTCATGTCATCATTCAATTGATATCATTGTCTTGCCTCTTTCTTATGAGTTGCATTGTTTTCTCTGTACGGTTTCGTTGTTTCGCTACACTGACACCTTCACCTCACCAGAAGATTATACATTATTCAAGGTACCCAACAAAAACAACAATGTTTGTTTGTTTTATGTATTTTATCGATTCTTCACAAAATTACAATGGACTTTGTTTTATGTTTGCCCACACATCCGTACTGTGTGTAGTATAATACTAGTCACTAGTATTATTATTAATATTGCATGAACTCGGAGGAATATTTTGTTTGCATATATGTATATTTATATGGACTCAAATCCCTTCTTGCAATATATTGTCCTGTTACTTGTGCTATGCTAATCTTGCATAACATACTCGTAGTCTTCAAAAAAGTCTCTATCAAGCCGAAACGTTTAAAATCTTTTCATGGAGAGAGTTGAACTGGGCCATCACCAAATTTATCTCCCACGCGTACAAATTTTTTAAAAATGCAAACGTTAGATGGACAAACAATATGGACAACACTTAACACGAAAAATTTAATTTGATAACCTGTTCACTGTATGCACATTTTTTCAGATAATTTTTGGGGAATATTAGTCGAATTCAACCTTTTCTTTGTTGGAGAACCGAGATTACTACAAAATTTCTCTTTTCAATCTAGTTTTGGGTGCACTTCGCTAACTTTATTTCTTCCACCACTTATTGCACCTTTAAGATTCCAGTTGAAATCTTGTCTTGAGTGCTTATATATTGCTTGAAGAATTTTTACAATCATCTGAAGATGCAGATTTCATGTCCATAAACATAATTTGATGAATAAACTTTGTCGAGACCGATATTCTTCGTGATGGCGATATATAACTTCAACTGGTAGATACATAAGCTTGCTTGTTTCAACTAAAACAACGACACAAAATTTCCCGAGAACTCGTCTTCCGTCGTCTCTCTTCTTCTCTCCCCATTTAGTGAGAAACAGCTTAAAAATAAATATGACACTCGGAAGAACCCACTCTCTGTCAGAGACAACTTATATAGCTAACAGCAAAATACATAACATCGGCACAAATGCAAATGATAGTTGCAAACAAATGGGAACTTGGCCAAAATCTGTGAAAATCTTTCAATTCTTGGTGCAACAGCAAATGCAATGCACATTCAGAAGTATGTATGTATTTATGTCCTCGTTCAGCAGTACTAATAAGAAGCGTAAATCCTTTCTTGCAGCCTTGGGAAGGTAGTTACTGAGCAATTTCCGAGTTTTGTATGGTAATAATTTAATACTTTGACTTAGATTAGCTAATTTCACTCCGAATTACATAAAGCCCTTTAAGATTACGATGAGCAACATATGCATGTATATTCAATACAACTGACTTAATCTCACCAATTCACTCTTGTCTATACGTGTATGTATACGAAGTTTGTTGTATTTTCACATTAACAAGTTCTTATTTAGCAGAATTCGAATCAACATTTGCATATGCACTTCTACTCTCACAAACTCAAGCTCATGATGGTCTATTAAGTAAATAACATAATGCAGTCAGGCGACGGTTAGCCAACAATCCTCCTCCACCAGCCAAAATTAAACGACACATAGGACGAAGAATGACAGGAGGAAGATATTAAGCATTATATCACTCTTATTCTGACAACGCAGCACTGATGAGCAGCAACACTTATCGTTTCATCGCGAAAAAGGATCTCTAATGCACATACGTGTTCCAACAACCTCACTTCCTTTACGGTTAAATCCACTTTTCACTTTCTGACGACAATCTTTTGAATCATCTAAAACATTCCCATTATGCACTCATTTGACTCTTGGTTGGAAAAATGTACAAGAGTGGAGAAGATCTGCACAATTAAGGCTCCTAATGAATCACTTGCTCCAAAAAGTTGGTACGAGAGAGGGCAAACCACAGATATCCTCGCACTTCTCCATATGCAATGTTGGACCGGCTTGTAATATTGTAGCGTTGCGTCCTTATTAAACTATTCAATTCCCGGCGAGTAGTACAGTATTTTCAGTTAAAATTTGAAGGTAAGAAACCGAATTGATCAGAGTTTGTTGTACAAATATATTTCCACCAGTATTAAGCACGAAAGGAAATACTAGTTTTATTTATGCAGCCCACAACAAGATACTTCCGCACTTGAGAGTAAAATCAAGTGAACTGAACCGCAGAGAAGAGAGTGAAATAATAAAACTGGCTTTGAATATATCCCACATCTAACAACAAATAACAAGAACAACCCTTTGAAACTACTAGGATGGACTCAACTGGCTTTGCCTGTATGTAACTATTCACGTAGTCATTGTCATAACTTAGGGGCGAACATTAAGCTGTGCCATGATTGAAAAGAATACTGCTTGTTGCAAATTCAGGGTTCTATAAGTACACTAATTGCAAAAGAGGTGATGTGCGCACCCCGCATTAGGATTTGAATTGATCAAACTATTACATGTGCAAAAGTTCTCACACAAATGCATACACACAACTACATACAAAACCTGGAGTTCATGTTTTGACGACAAATTGAAAATCCGTCGACATAAACGAAATATCTTGTCGCACCAACAAGCATGTGCAGGGGTATTATTGCATTGCATTACAACCTTTGCAGTTCGATTCGAATTCCTCATCGAAGCCAGTCAGGCTAAACCAGCAAGAAGAAACACCTTCCTTTCGTTTTACTTCATCCATTTCTTCAAGTATAATATGCATACGATTCTTGGATGCAGTTAGTTAGTGCAGCAAGGTAGTACGTACGTGGTGATAATGTATGATACCTCCAGGCTAAGGATTCAATGAACCACCTCACACGTTCTCGTATGTGCGTCTTTCTTGTCTTTTCTGCTGAATACCTTTCCTGTTTGCATTTTATTGCCCACATTTTCAACGATACTACGTTCACACTCAGCAATAAAATAAAAGTAACCTGACCAGCAGCGACCAAGCCTAAGCCCCACACAAGCACCAGGGGTAATACCTCCTACAACTAGTGAATCCTTTCTTTCAGCTCTCAACTCTTCCTCTCAACCTCATCTTCATCCCACCATCGTGAGCGTAGCAAAAATCTGTACAAAAAAGTCAAGATTATCTTGTCCCTAGTCCCTGCTAGCTCATTCATTCGAATTTTTGTACAAATCTGTACATGATAATAAAAACACTAGTTTTGATTTTGTTCTTCAACGATGAAACGACGCAAGATTTCATCAAACCTAAATTGCATGCCGTTATATTCGTTCGACACCCAAAGACTTTATTTTATCTACATACTTGGCTAATTTAATAAAAGATTAAACAAAGCACAAACACAATTTCATCTGTTAATCATCACAGTGATACGCAAAAGATAAGAAATTAAGAGATAAAACACACGAGTCGCTTTTATGCTGCGTTGCATAATAACTTTTCATTTTCTGCGAAGAATAGCAAAAAAAAGTAAGAAAGTACATACATACACAAGAGCCGACTGCATGTAGGTTTCCTGTCTACACTCCAACATCTCATCACTTTTTCAACTTTGGACATTTTAACGCTTAATAGTTTGCTGGATACGACGGTCGTATTACGACCACAACCAACCAATACCATCAGTTTGCTCGTCTTATTCCTTTAGGCAGTAGAAGAGCACTAGAGCAGCTAGCTATGCATAATGAATAGAAAGAAACACAACCAACCTACAAAATCTTTTTTCCAATTCGGTCTTCGCATCTTCATGAAAAGGCAAATCTGTTTTTATGACAGTCACAAAAACTAGCAAAGAAGAACTACCATCCACTCCATTTATAATTTCCTGAGTTTTACCATTGAAATACAGGGTGGTTAAAATGTCACGCCACAATGGAAAATTTTTCAATGGGAAAAGTCCCTAAATCTCCATTAGTTACAAGATTTTGGATTGAGATTTTTATAAATTATTATCAAAACTGATGACAAAATTCTTAAAATGTTGCATTTTAGAGACAAAATTTCGGTAACTAATGGAAATTTATGGATTTTTCCCATCGAAAAATTTTCCATTGTAGCGTGACATTTTAACCACCCTGTACATACAAATTCGTCAAATAATCATAATCTGATCCAGCCCGGAGTATGGTAATTAACATTATTTTGAAATAATCTACCACGAATTTTATACACAAGATTCTCTGTGGTAGCATGGCGAGGCAAATGTGCTGAGTAATTTATCTGATTTGTATTAAGTGTACATGGAGTTGCATAATCATTTACAATGATTGCCTGATGACGGGCATGGGAAATCTTTGGCTTGGGATGAAGAAGGAAAAGAAAGACCGAATGATGAATCTCACTAAATAACTCCTTCACTGTTGGAGGGTATCATAAATATTTGACCATGACCCAGCTATTTTCCCAAAGCAATGAAAGATGGGGTACTTTGTTAACAATTTTTCTAATGAATTGTAAATCTCATCCTCATTTTAAGAAAAACTTGTGAACGACTTACAATAATCTTTAAGTTGTCTTGATCCGGGATCCAGCAACAATTTCAAATTGCGACGATATTAATTTCATAAACATGAACTTTCACAAAACTTTAGACATATATTAGATTTATAACCGAGGTTTCGCCTACACATATAATTCTCACTGTTAACTGTGTCTATGTGTTTATTATTTATTTATAACTTGCTAATCTCGGCTGATAGGATTGCAGTTTCCTTTAAAGCTAAAAACCACGTATTTTCTAAACAAAGAGCGAAGGTGACGATGCTCAAACTATCTACAACAAGTTCCAGAGTAGAGACGAGGAGGAATATCTGTGTACATTTGTCTAAATGTATACAAGTTCACCCACCTCTTCTTCTTCCCAGGCGTGCATGCATGGGTGAAACTCGTTCATGTCAAGATTTAAATGGTCAGTAGCAGTGTTCTTGAAGGCATTGTCAATATCAAGCCTTCTCGCGCAGAGTTAATAGCAAACCAACAAAATGAACGGTAGGAGAAGAAATAACAAGGCAGATTATTATGTATGTGATGGAGACGACAGGATGTGGATGTTAGTTTAGTTTCCGATTTAGACAGTACTTAAACTTCCAAGTCCAACCAAACCGAAGCAACTACTACTGCTCTGGATGATGAAGGCGGTGATTGAAAATAAACTTGGACATCTGTGTGTGGAGTAGAAATTTGAAAATTCAGTTCATTCAGAAAGAAACAGGCTGATACTTAGGCATTGCATTGTATATATTATGGCTCCCATATATTTATATCTGTACCACGATATCAGTACGTAGTTCCATTCCATAATGCTCCCTTTAATATCTGCTGTACATCCAGCATTCGTAGGGCCACCAAAAATGAAAGAGATGAGCCATTTGGTTTTTGGTTAGACTCGGGTATACATGCACATGAAACAGCCGATTCACAGATTTTAAATGAATGTGAGGGTCTCGGATGGTCTTCTGGTGGTTGGTGAATGGTTAGCATTCGAATCTGTAGGGCGACTTTCAATCCTGGAAGAAGACGTCCATAGATGACGATGGGTGGACAAAGGTTTACAGTCTAGGTTCTAAGCATAGATGGTCGTAATTTCGAAAAGGAAAAAAATAAAGGTGGAATCAAAAACTGTGTCTGCTAGGCGGTCTTATAAATATGTGGACATTATGTTCATATAACCCACAAGATTCAAGTTCATGCCACAGGTTACAACAAGAAAACTGTTGTATCTCGTTCACAGCCTTTCATTCTATTCGACCCTTTAAAATTACAGTATCCGTTTAGCAGACGAGGAACTGCGGATCCCTTATTCACTGCATCCCCCCAGGTTTCCTCCCTTCATATCCGGATTTCACAATATCTCCACAACTCACAATATCACCAAGGTACAAGTACATATATAGAGACACTAGGGCCAATCGAACATACTAGATATTTAGCTAGCATAATAATAAAAAGGCCTAACAATATAATGAGGGTTGCTTGCCTGGGAAGATTAACTAGAGTACGTGTGCATATGGAAAGATGCAGAGTGCGAGAGTGCATAAAGTTCAAGTATTCCTGAAACTGCCTGAAAGAAATAAGGGACACCCTTCTGTCCTCCCGAGCGAAGTTGCAACATTACTACCGTACTAATTATACCCACTTTTACGCACCAAAAGTTAACAGTATAGAACAGATAAACCCCTTGCAACCCGTTATATGTATTAAGTTGCATACCGGATTTTTTATGAATTGCAAAATGTACATTTTCCGGGATGGCACACTTGATAAAAAATACTTTTATTGAGTGCGCACCGACATCGCCCATTTATTCAGCCCGAATTCTAATAACAGTCATGATCATCCTCTCTCTCTCTCTCAT